GCTGGGTTAACGGTTGGACTTGATGATCTTAAGGGTCTTTTCCAACCTTAACGATTCTATGATTCTATGAATTTGTCCCACTGAAATTATTTTGCCTTTGTTTCATCTTAAATACAGAATTAGGAGAAGAAAAACCCCACAGTAAGTCTATAATACACAATGTTAGAATAAAGAAAATAACAGGAAAAACCTGCAAAAGTAGCTGATCGCTAACTAAGCTTCACAATGCTTATTGAGCTGATTACAGTGGATTTTCAAGAAGTTATACTTCCGATTTTGAACTCTGACTCAACTGTGCAGACATGTGATGTATGAGGTTTGGTTCTGTTAGTCAAATACTCCGATGTGTGCAAAGTCAGGTGAAGATGTAAACAGTGTTCAACGTTAGTAAAGGACTCTCAAAACAAACCCGATACCAAGTAGGTTTTAACTTCCAAACAACTATGCCAGTTATGCCACTGTGAAGATAAGGTTAAATTCATATAATCCCTACTACTCCACTTTGGGCTCCTTCAGAGACTACAATTTTATTAAATTATATTTAGTGTTTTGCATGCATGCATTGCTGAAAAAAGGAGACACATGCCTATGCCTTATAATGTAAATCTAATCTAAATGCCTTATAATAAATCACGTACTGTAAAATAAGGAAAACAATTAAATCCCAACTTTTAGTACAATCCCTCATGCACAGTAACATTGAATATACACCAACCTGCAGACTTTCTCTACTGTTTGAAAACTCATTACTTCTACAGTCTTATGCTATTCACATACCTGCGAGAACAGGCATAATGCAACATTTGTCTTTATACTAACAGTTTGAGACTACTTCAGAACAAATGCATGTAATTAATAATTTCATGACCTGAAAAACATCTATCAAATTAAAATACTAACTATGTGGGTTAAGTTTGTGTTCCAAATGCAATACGTGTTAGTTTTTAAACTCACATCTCTTTGGCATCTTTGTATCTATTTGGCAACACAGAAATGGTTTGCAACTAGATACCAGACTATGAACAACATAAAAAATGCATAAATACAGAAAACCTACAAATGATCACTATGCAAACTGATGTTCTAAAAGACTAAAGCATGTGGTATCAAACAGCCTTAAATTTACACAGACTGAGTGCAGTGTAATGTGTATTTTGTCTTTATTTTACTTGTAAATTTGTACTAATAACAATTACAACTGCACATGATTACAACCAATAATTTCCATAAGTATTTCAGATCACCTTCACCATTAACAGGGCTATGAGGCCACATGATGCCTATACTGAGGGCTGGCCGAGGTTTCTGCTCAATGCACGTCTTCAGAATTCTTCTATTGCTGTGCTTAACATAGAAATTTTGCAGGTAGAAGAAAAAGAATATTCACAAAGCCTAATATTTTTTTTAAAATTGTAAGATTAAGTTGTATGTTTTTTCAAGCAGAGGATATATATTTCTTTGTAATAAGCCTAGAAAATGTGGTACTATTTAGCAATGTTTTTGTTTCAAGTAGATGGAAGGTAAAAATAAATCTCTACCAACTCTATTTAAGATTTTGCTCTTTTACAGTCTTCCCTTTCTAAATTAAGTCTTTAAAAAAAAAAAAAAAAGCATATTTTCAGACAAGAGTACCAATTAAGTGTGATCAACTCTAGTTGACTTAAAAGACTAACAGTGTATTACAAACTGACCAGAATACCCTCCTACCGATTCAGAATAGTGGTAAAAACAGCAGTAACACAAATACAAAACATAGAATGCATAAAACCAGCATTACTCAAAAAAAAGGCTATATTTAGACTATTGCAATGAAAAAGGAAGTTCATACGTGAGTCTAAAAATAATTGTGAAAACATAAGTATAAGGTTGAAAACACTAAGAAACTTAAAGAGACTCCTCCCATCAACATCTACTCAGTCAAAAAGGGTTAAAAATAGGCTCAGGTACTGCACCTGCCTCTGTGACCCTTGTCATTTTTTTTTCTTCACGGTCATGCTTTCCTATTTTAAAAACAAACTTCTCTCCATACCCTGACAGAAATCCACACCCACAGCAGAAGAAAACTGACTATGCAAGTAAAGGAAAATAGGATTTTCATCCAATTCTTTATAGGTACAGCTCTCTTCAGCACCACGTGTAGCATATAGGTAAAAAAAAAAAATCTCAGATTGCTCTTACATACTTCTTGAAGTCTTGTATGCAAAATTTCAGACTGCAATTCCTTTTGCTTGCTCTAGCACAAGTTCTGAGGGTACAAGTTTAAGATAAAACAAACACAGACCTAATTTAAATACTACCTTGTACTACATTATTATGATTCTACTGACTCACCCTGAATTAGTCGCATTTTTATGTTTTTTGAAACTGTCATTAAACAAGTGAAAACACCCCTAATTCTTGACAAGTACATAAATCTAGTATCCTTGTGTTACTTCACTTTAAAGTTTAGCCTATTCAACACTGTCCAATAAAATATGAGTATGTAATTAGTGAGTAGCATTGGTAATATTAAAGTAACGCTCACATCAACAGGAAGTTACCTTCACTTCCACTAGAAATACACTGTAGCTAAAAAAATATACATTAAAAATAATTATAGCTGTTAGGGAAGGAGATTCTTCTATCTACAGCCCTTTTACTCTTAGGCGCTAAAACTGCGCAGGGAAATAAGTGTAGACGGTGCTGTTACAGCCACTAAAAAAAGCACGTAGTTAAATTTATGTTACACTAGCGATCTCCTTTATCTGAAAGACGCATGATAATGATAGACATTTCTCTGTCCTGATCTGTTCCACTTACATTGTTCTGGAAAAATACTGTACAGTATTGTATAACAGTAACGTTTGGCAATGTGCAAAATTAGCATTCTTTTCGCTATCTTGCTGTCGAATCGAAATTGTTGGAAAAGTCATATAGGTCTTGGGCAAGG